GCCAGAGCAAGAGGGCTCTGGGGACAGGCAATGAGCTTGGGGATAAAGTAGGACACTTTCGGACCCAAATCTGTGAGGTCTTTCCCTGTTTGGGTGTGCAAAGGTAGTTATGGCTTTGGAAATGGGGCAAGATGGGGAGCTGGGATCTCCGTCATTGTTCTGATACTCTGCAGCATCTGTGAGCCTGTCGTGCTTGTGGGACCAGTTTGTACCACCGTGTCCTCGCTACCTGAGCCCTCTTCATTCCCCTTCCATCACAGACACTGCTGGTGACACCTGGGTGATAAATGATCCAGAAACATGCAGTTTTAGGCCACCAAGTAGCAAATCACCCTCTAGCAGTGAGCCTGCTTCCCCAGACTATTTCCCTGCTAAAGACTGCAATTAAGATTAAAGTCAGATTTTTTTGCAGCAAATGCATTTTCACCTTAAAAATAAGAAAGAAAAAATGAGAAAGTGATGGATGAACCCTGCTCTTGTTCTTCTTTATAACAAGTTCCCCTCGTTCCATCTCTCCTCCAGTGCCAACCTCAGCATCCTTGATATGCCTGTATATCAGGAGCTGGTGCCTCTCCAGACACCTCTTGCAGGGCAGCTTATAAATATCCACCCGAAGGCTCAGCCCTGATTCATTTCTGTGTGATCTGTAAGAACAACAGCACGTGGCCAGGGGTTAAATAAAACCCCACGTGTGTCGGGGCTGTAGCATCATCCTTTCCAGTCTCAGCCTAACCACCCAGCTCTGCAGTTTGTCTGTGGGGTGCAGAGCACCCCCTTTTCCCTGGTTAACAGCTGAGATGTGGGACCCTTTTGGGTGTGATTGCCACCTTCAGTTGGACAAACCCCCTGTCCCCTTCTCTGGGCTCCCCTCAACCCTCGCACGGAGTGTTTTGCCAATTATCAGGCCTAGCATAAAGGGCACAGCCAGCATAAAGATGAACCAATCACCAAATTGTATTTGATACAAAAGGGTCAGCACACGGGTGAGTGCTGGGGGTACAGACAAGACAGTCAGATCATACATAACTGACATCAGTCCCATTGACTCCAACAACGACACCGCACGACCAACAATGGGGGGAATAAATGGTGAAATGCAGTCTGCCATAGAAGGGACGGGAGACAACCAAGTCAACAAGCCAAGCCCATCAGACCAAGGAAGCCACATACTGAATCTCCACACAGCCCGTGTTTACACAAGCTGGACCTGACTGGAGCCCAGTCCCAGGGAGGCGCGAAGTCCTTCTCCAACAGAAAACTCTGCACAGGGCATCCACCTCACAGACAGACACTGCCCCTGCCTGCAAGTGGGCCCAGCTTTTATCCCTAAGCGGGACACCTGACCTTTGTTCACTTAATGTGGGACGCCTGGGGCTCCTTTACCCAATGGCTCTCCCTGCATTGCTGGCTGCACCCCGGAGGGAAGCCTAAAGGCAAACTCACCCTCCCCTTTGTGAAGGGCTGTGGGAATCACCCATATGTCACCCTTAATTTGGGGCTTGGGGTTGACACCCCAGCATTTCAGGGAGATGGCTTAAATCCTGCTGGGACACAAGGGCAGCACCAAGTGTGTTCCCTGCTGTGGTGCAGGAGAGGGTCTGCAAGGAGAGGCTAGAAGAGGCTCAAAGCTCCTGAGAGCCAAGATGTGCCAGCAGATGCCCATTTATCTCACACTCTCACATCTGGAGAAACAGTGGAAATCTGGAATTCAGTGCAACCCCCTGCCTCCTGCAAGGCCAAGCACCAGGCAAATGTGAGACCTAAACACAACACAAGACACCCTGGTGTCACCTGCCCCACACCGCGCACTGGGAGACGGGGCAAGAAAAAGCGGTGCCGGGACGGTTCCATCTCACAACATCAGCTACACGTATGTCACAAGAACATCCCCGCTCCTCCACCAGTGTCCCAGGCTGGTGTGCTCAGGGAAAAGGTCCCCACAAATCACAGAATCCCAGAATCATCTCGGTTGGAAAAGCCCCTGAACCTCCTCCAGCCCAACCATGAACCTCCCCCTGACCGTTCCCAACTCCCCCAGATCCCTCAGCGCTGGCTCAGCCCGACTCTTCAACCCCTCCAGGGATCCCGGGGACTCCCCCCTGCCCTGGGCAGCCCATTCCAACGCCCAACAGCCCCTTCTGCACAGAAATCCTTCCTCAGAGCCAGCCTGACCCTGCCCTGGGCAGCTTGAGGCCATTCCCTCGGGGCCTGGCGCTGGGGCCTTGGCTCCAGAGACTCATCCCCCCTCTCTGCCCCCTCCTGGCAGGGAGTTGCCGAGGGCCAGGAGGTCTCCCCTCAGCCTCCTCTTCTCCAGACTGAACCCCCCCAGTTCCCCCAGCCGCTCCCCAGCAGACCTGTGCTCCAGACCCTGCCCCAGCTCCGTTGCCCTTCTCTG